GCCCAACACCGGCTGACGGCTCATCGGTTTCCCTATGAATTACCCGCCGATACGTACGATATCGGAGTCGTCTCGTCGTTCGGCCATCTGATCCCGAAGCGGGCGATCAGCGCCTGTCGATTAGGTCAGTGGCCGTACAGTTAGCCAATTAGTGGCCATATATTACAGCTAATTGTGTGTAAACTACAGTCCAATTAATACAAGCTATTTGTTCTGATCGCAGGTATGCTCAACATTCACGGCTCACTATTGCCGCGATGGAGAGGCGCCGCACCCGTCAACTATGCCGTACTCAACGCCGACGCCATCACCGGAATCACTGTTATGCGGATTAAGCCCAAGAAGTTCGATGTCGGAGACATTGTCTGCCAAATGGAGTATAGGATACCCGACCGCATCACTGCCAAAGAACTGAAGCACCGGTTGGCCCCCATCGGCGCACAACTCGTATGTTATCCCACAATAATTCAATTCGCAAATCATTATATCGTTGTTAAACGCCATGTCTTAATGTCTTTCGCAGTTATGGAAGTGTTTACTGGATTTAGACAATCATCTAAATAACGCTAAACCGCAACCAAACGAAGGCATCACTTATGGTATGATTTAAATGCATTTTTATTTAATTTTGTGAACAAAATTGTATTTATAATATAATTAATACTTTTATACTTCAATTGAATTGACAACAAAAGCGCCCAAATTTGACGACACATACGGTCTGATAGAGTGGTCAACGATGACCGCCACAGATATCGATCGCCGATTCCGCGCTTTCGACGGCTTTATAGACGTTTACACGCATTGGACGGACGGAACGCGTGTTCGGCTGCACGACATGGTGTCGCCCGAAGTGGTGTCCACTCTAGAGCTGGACCGGCTGTGCGGTCGTCGGGAGCCGTCGCCCGGTTTCGTGTATTACCATAAAAAGCGGCGCATTGTGTGCGTGAAGTGCGCGGCCAACACGTGGTCGGCGTTCGGGTCGTTGGCCCCGAAGGGACACAAACAGATATCCGCGCATCAGTTTAACAACGGTTTTATTAAACGGGCCGTAAATCCATTGGTTTTAGGCCAACAAATGACGTAATGTTTACATTGTTTATATAGTAAAGTAGTGGAAGTGATGACAACAACACTCTTATTGTGGGAATGAGTTTGTAATATAAGAAATAAAGTAAACTTAAAACT